CGTAAGTATTTGAAAAACAATCCTAACTTAACGTTTATGCTTTTCAAGGGTGGAGGTCTCATTAGTTGTTCTTTGCTGTTGCCTTTTGCACATATGATAGTTAGGTTCTCTTTGATATACTGCACCTTCCTTATCTGGATTTCTTTAATGAGTTTTTGTTTTTTTTTTTCTTTGTTCCTCCCTCTCTCAAAATATCATATCGTACTGTGTTCACCTATTTGTGGACCACGGTTGACTGTGAGGAACTGAAACTTGGACAATGGAAACACAGATGAGGTGGAATTACTGCACTTTCAGCGTTCGTTTGGCTACTCTCCCATGACTACTATTAAAACTGCCCACTTTCTCTGTTTTGATTTACTACGCTTGATGCAAAGTGCTGAAAACGGAGTTCCACAAAACTTTAAAAACAAAACCGGGACAGTAAAATCACTTATTTAATACTTATACAAATAAGCACATACAAAATTGTGCAAATTGTAACATTCCAAAGACTAAAAGAAATTATTACAAGGCTGATTGTAACGAGACAATGACCTTGGAAAATTGGTGTTTTGAAGTAAGCTATTAAGGCGTTTTTCCTTCTCAAGGGTCTCAATCTGGCTCAAACAATTAACAATGAGTTACCAACTATCATGTGCTCTGTATCAGGGAAATCAAAGAATTTAAAACCTCGCTGCTGCCCATGAAGAGTTCATTGATAATTTCACTAACGAAAGAAAGAGGCTAGGAGTTTTACAATCACAGGGAATCAAGACAAGAATTGTGACAGTCAAGAATTAAATATTAATAACCCACTAGCCATGATGGGAAGGCCAACAAATGAACTAAGCATAGAGAGAAAAAAATTATTCAAGTTCTAAGAGAGTATTAAAGCGCAAACCTGAATGTTAACAACTAAATTCCCCCAAGATTTTAACTTCCAGTTAAGTAGTTTAAGGTGTTTCTTTAAAAAGTCTGGAATGGTAGACTCTAGAGATCATAAACCACCAAGTCTGATATCAATACCCTTAACAAGGCCAGATGCAGTGGCTCACGCCTGTAATCCCAGCACTTTGGGAGGTCAAGGTAGGCGGATCACCTGAGGTCGTGAGTTGAGACCAGCCTGGCCAAATTAGCCAGGCGTGGTGGCGTGTGCCTGTAGTCCCAGCTACTTGGCAGGCTGCGACAGGAGAATCACTTGAACCCGTGAGGTTGCAGTGTGCCGGGATTGCACCATTGCACTCCAGGCTGGGTGACAGAGGGAGACTCTATCTTAAAACAACAACAACAACAACAAAACCCTTAAAATTCCAAAGAAATTAAATAGAACAGAAAATGTAAATGATGGATAGAAATCAGCAGAAACTTTTAGTCTCATTTTCTTCAAAAAGGCTATGAAACTGATGGATCAAGGAAATACTCCAAGCCCACTATCTTATTTTTTTTTTTTTTTAAAGAGACAAGGTCTCCCTCTGTCACTCAGGCTGGAGTGCAGTGGCACACTCCCGGCTCACTGCAATCTCTGCCTCCCAGGCTCAAGTGATTCTTGTGCCTCAACCTCCCCAGTAGCTGGGATTACAGGCATGCGCCACCACGCCCAGCTAATTTTTGTATGTTTAGTAGAGACGGGGTTTCCCCATGTTGGTCAGGCTGGTCTTGAACTCTTGACCTCAAGCAATCCTCCCTCCTTGGACTCCCAAAGTGCTGAAATTACAGGCATGACACCACCACACCAAGCCTGAAAATACAGCTTTTAACTATGCGCCTTTGCCTCCACTCCCAATGACAATTCTTTAACATCAATCTCTTATTTCAGGCCTGTATCACAATAATCTGACTCCCAAACTAGTCTCATTCACTCCAGTTTTGTTTTTCTCAAGCTATCCTCCACATAACTGCCAAAGTGTTCTTCATAAAATGGTCTTTTTTTTTTTTTAAGTCTTATTCTTTGGCTTCTCTGCTTAAATCCTTTAATGATTTCCCCACTGCCTTTAAGATCACATCTAAACTCCATAGTATGACTATAAAGTGCTTGCACCATGTCCCATCTCCCCTCTTTCATGTCACTTAGACCATTTCTTTCTGTTGCACTTTTCACATATGGTACTATACACACACAATACTATCACATGCTCTGAACTAGATGTCTTCTTCCTTCTGGTTGGAATGCCCACCTTCTCATTTTCTGTCTGGCAAACTCCCATTAATCCTTCAAATCTTGCTCAGGTCTGTGAAGACTTCTGACTCTCCATGGCAGAATCTCTTCCACCTCTGTATTACCTTACTTTAACAACTATGAAAGAATGTAATTCATAGTGTTATATTTATTTAACAATACGGAAAAATACTTTCTTCCATATTGAGGACAGAGGCTATTCTTTTCAATCAGACCTCAGTCTATCAACTGTCCTTCCTCCAAGTGGTCCTTATTTCCTTCTCTTATGCTATAGGCTTTGCCTAGACCACCTTACTACTTTTTCAGTTGTGACTGACACCTGCACACTCTTGTCTCTGATTTTTTACTGAGTCTAAACTGATGTCCAACTGCTTAATGCAAAAGTAAAGTCGAACAGTGTAGAATTTTCTTTTTTCTTTTTCTTTTTTATTTTTCAGACAGAGTCTCGCTCTGTTGCCCAGGCTGGAGTGCAGTGGTGTGATCTTGGCTCACCGCAATCTCTGCCTCTGGGGTTCAAGCAATTCTCCTGCTTCAGCCTCCTGAGTAGCTGGGATTACAGGCACATGCCACTGCACCAGGCTAATTTTTGTATTTTTAGTAGAGAAGGGGTTTCACTATGTTGGCCCGGCTGATCTTGAACTCCTGACCTCAGGTGATCCTCCTGCCTCGGCCTCCCAAAGAGCTGGGATTACAAGTGTGAGCCACGGCGCCCAACCCAAACAGTGTAGAATTTTCTAAAGTAGAAGCATAAATCCTCTCCCAGTCCTCTTACCCTAACAGCCAACCATTAAGTTGTGGTACTTACCTTTTCAGACATTTTCAAAGTATATGTAAACATATACACTCGTATCCATAGATACACATCTTTTACACAACTGAAATCTTACTATATATTCTGTAACATGTTGTAAGATATTTAATATACTGGGGACATTTTCCCATATCAGAAGATACATATTTACTTTATTTCTTTTAAAAATTACATACTCTTAAATATGTATTTATCATAGTTTAGCCAAATCTCTACTGATAAATATTTAGATGGTTTACCACTTTTTCACTATTATAAACAACACTGTAATGTCATCTGTAAGCAATGTCTATGCACATTTATGCAAATATGTCCCTGCAGGTGGACTGCCAGCAAAGAGCAGGGATTACATTTGAGAATGAGATAGAAAAGTTTCATTTAAAAAATGGAGCATTGTGTTTGAGAAGATGAAAAAGGCAGAATCTAAAGCCTTAAACAACAGTAGGTTAAGAATGATGTAGACACAATGACAAAGTTGTGAAGGCAGGAACAGAAAGTTGAGGTAATTTATTGCCTCACCAAAGGCTTATCAAATCTATAACAAATTAAAATGAAGAACTAGTAAGTGCTAATATTTTATCACAGATTGAATGTGCAATGTTCTTGATAATACAATATGGTAAGCACAAACTAACATTAAGAAAGGACTGAATAGGCCAGGTGCAGTGGCTCATGCCTATAATCCCAGCACTTTGGGAGGCCAGGGAGGGTGGATCGCTTGAGGTCAGAAGTTCGAGACCAGCCTGGCCAACACGGTGAAATCCCATCTCTACTAAAAATACAAAAAAGCCAAGTGTGGTAACCGCGCCTGTAATCCCAACGGGATTATCGCTTGGAGGCAGAGGTTGCACTGAGCTGAGATAGCACCACTGCACTCCAGCCTGGGCTACTGAGAGACTCCTTCTCAAAATAAAAATAAAAATAAAAATAAAAGACGGAATACCATCCTGTATTTAGAATTAAAAACAAAATAAAGATGCATGCATATAATGGGGGAAAAACTAACCTAGCATAGTTTTATAAAAGAGGCCTGAAAGTTTGATGCATCAAAGGAATGTCTTAACTTCTGGATTGAGGATAGAAAGAGAATGAATTCATATAAAGAACATCAGGCCTTATTAAGACAAATGTTTTTAAAAATCCAAATTTAAGGGGTAATAGCACCTCTTTGCTACTTACTAATCAGGCCACATATGGAGTATATGTTCTGCTCTGGACGTAATGGATATGAAAGATATTAACAAGCCAGACAGCAACCAGAGAGGAATAACAAAAAGTCTAGAAACTCTAATACAGTTACTACAAATAAAAGAGGATTTACAGTCTGGGAAAAAAATAATAAGAATCTGAGAGCTGAGCACTGGCTTTAAACATAATACATAGCATCTTCTCTTAATAGTTTTCCAAGCACTGTCACTCTTCTGAAATGCACAATAACCTTTTAAGATAGACAGGGTAGGTATCATCGCAGGTGGAAAAACTGCCCAAAGTCAAACACCTAATAAGCTGGGTAGCCTCCTGCAGTTTAGCTGTTGTTTGTTTGGCTGCTGGCATCCAAACAACAGCTAAACCTGTTCAGGTAACAGTTCTGGTAACAGCACACCCCTGCGAGTAAAAAACCACTCTCTGTGGTTGTGGTGGAACTGTCACACTTACCCCCCGCCCCATGAGATAGGGATTATCAGACTATTTTGGACACCTCCTCTTCATCCAAAGGGTGGGCATGTGATCAATCAGAAGTTGCAAGCATGGGAACGGGGAGCTGCTGGTGACCATCACCCCCACCATTAACATCTCATGTAGAAGAGCCCAAGACTGTAAGGCCACCAAAAATAGCTAAGGAAAATGAAAATACCTCACACTGACCATGTCAATCCAATTGACCTTGAAGTATAATATATGTCTTTTTCCGGAGTTTAGTTACACAGATTGGTATAGTCTCCCTCTTCTACTTAAGCTATTTTGAGTTATTTTCTGTTACCTGTATCAGAAATAATCCTGAATAATACACTACATACTCTTTTTCTCTTTCTACTACAGCTCTTTCCACTACTCACACGAAACCTATGTCAAAACTGAACAATGTGGAAACGGGAAATTAACAGATTTTAGCTCACCATAAATATTTTTCAACCATTAGAGCCTGACCAAAAAATGGAATTGACTGATTTATGAAACAATGTTCCTTATTGCTATAAACTGTTACTAGGAATGTTTTGGTAATGAATCTGCACACTGAATGAAAAACTGAACTGGATTATTTCTCAGTTTCCTTCCAATTATAAAATTACATGCTTCTAGGTGAGTATAAGGTGTAGTTACCTGTCCTTTATTAAAATGGTGAAGACATCCAAATGAGCATTTTGTTATTTGTTATTTCCTGCAAGAATCCCTGAATATTTAGTCATATTATTCTAATGATACAAAATGAAACATTTCCTTAAAAAAGAAAAAAAAAAACAGCAAAGCTACAGTAAATGAAGAGTACAGCCTTGGAATTATAAGTGGGTTTTACTGGCTGGGTGTGGTGGCTCATGCCTGTAATCCCAGCACTTTAGGAGGTCAAGGCAGGCAGATCACCCGAGTACTGGAGTTCAAGATCAGCCTGGCTGGCATGGTGAAACCCTATCTCTACTAAAAACACAAAAATTAGCCAGGCATGGTGCCACGTGCCTGTAATCCCAGCTACTCGGGAGGCTGAGGCAGGAGAATCACTTGAACCCGGGAGGCCGAGGTTGCAGAGCCCAGATCTTGTGACTGCACTCCAGCCTGGGTGACAGAGGAAGACTTCGTCCCAGAAAAGAAAAAAAAAAGTAGGTTTTTTATACTTTTGCCACCGAATAGCTGAGTTTAGCTTCAACTACTTAAGCTACCGTTGGACTACCCTGTTCTCTCATCTATAAAATGGAATGACAGTATTTTCTTACACACCTAGGCTACGGGGTTGTTTCATGTATCAAAGTGCATATGAACACATTCTCAAATATAAACTCCCATACAAATGTTAAATTACAATAGCTTTTTTGGCAGAATCCATACTCAGATTTTCAGCGTTACTTAGAAATTTTCAACAGAAGTAGCTTCCACTAAATACAATCCAATCAATATTTCAATTAAGTATTTTATAAAGATTTCTCACTGCCTGTCAATGTAAGTCTTTTATACAGTCTGATAAAGACACCAGTTTATTTTAGGGAAAAAAACAGCTCCAAGGAATCGTAGAAATCAACACATTTTGTTTAATAATTTGACTAAACGTCTAAATTAACTGAGCTAGTGACCTTGCCCAAGCTATTTACCTCTTTGAGCCATTTTCTACATCTGTAAAATGGACAGAGTGATATATTTCTTGCAAGATTATTTTAAGAATTGTAAATAGAATACACAAGCTCTTGAGTCACAAGAGAGGTTCAATAACACTGGCTTCTCAATACACAAAGAAGCACATAAATGTAGAGCGAACGCGGGACAACAGCCTGTTGTAGTGAATTCAAATCTGTTACCAGATTGATTTGGTTCAAAATGGCCAAAAAGAATAAAGTAAACGGCAGTACTTTATTAGGCAGAATCCCATGTCTAGGAACCAGGAAGCCCCTTGATCCATCAGGCTACACTGTAACTCGGCAGCAACAACTTTATGTATCAAAATCAGAAATATACGTAAATGATGCAACGACTGGCTCAGATGTGTAGCATTACTATCATTGGGAACACTATTTCGTCAAACTGTAAAGTGCTAGCAAACTGGGTTCCTGATCTGAATTTCATGGAAGTCTAAACAATTCCATTACTGTACACAGGAGTCGCCCCAAAGAAACATCACACATCTCACTTCTGCCTCAGCAACAGCGGCGACCCTGGGTTCCCCTAGAGAGATCAGAGGAGAGGAGGACAGGACACAGCCCCACTCTCTTGCCAAAGGGTCCACGGCCGTTTCCACAGACCACGTGTTCCCCCGTGATCCCAGACTCTTCCCCCTTCCTCGCCCGCTGTGGGAAGGAGCTACAGAGCAAACCGAGGCCACGGCGCCATCACCTGTCTCCACGCTCCCTGAAGGCTGCTCGTCCCTCCTGAGGTCTTCGGCCACAGTTCCTGGGCAACTCAAAAGTCTGAGGATAGGCCGCTGGACTCGAGTTCTTCTCTGGGCACACAGGTGCAAACGGGTCAAAAGCCCCACGCCGGGAACCGCCATGGTTAAAAGCACGAGCGCGAGGCTGAAAGGTCAGCGTGTTTTCGCGCATGCGCCCGGGGGGGGTGGGGCAAAAGAAATGGGAAGCCTCGAGGGTCAAACTACGCGAAAGAAGTTCGGTTTTAGCGGAAGAAAGGAAATTGAAGCCGAAAAGAAGATGCCTGAGCTTTCAGACATGGTTTACTTCCACAGTGGTACAGTTTACCAAATGAGAAGCTCCACAGAAGGAGCGCTCCACGTACTCTTGTAAATAGCGTCATGAAAATAGAGCCAGAGCCCGGGGGCGGTGGCTCATGCCTGTAATCCCAGCACTTTGGGAGGCTGAGGCGGGTGGATCAGCTGACGTCAGGAGTTCGAGACCAGCCTGGCTAACATGGCGAAACCTTGTGCTACAAAAAAATACAAAAAAAAGCCAGAGAAACAACACTCAAAAAAAACAAAAAATTAGCTGGGCGCTCGATGACACGCTGTAAGTCAGCACTTGAGGGGCTGAGGCACGAGAATTGAACGGAGGCGAAGGTGCACTGAGGGAGATGCGCCCCACTGCACTTAACTGTGCAACAGAGCTTGACCCTGTTCCAAAAAAAAACAAAGCAAACACAACAACGTAAAATAAGCTGGCAAGCTTTTAACCCTCTGAAAGGGGCTACCAGGAGCAAGCAGGGCATCATCTTTCCTTGAACCATTATGAGCGAACATCTTTACAACGCTCTACAATATAGCCTCGATTCAAATTAAAGATAGGGTTTTGCCAGCCCCTCCTCCCAAGTGAGAAGTACGTAACCTCATCTTAAAGGCATAGGAAGTAGTTGCGAAGAGGGACTGGTTCGTCTTTTCTTTATTGAACATGAGAAGTGGGCACAGATCCGCAAGACGGCTATAGGTCACACCATGGAGTCAAAGCTTAAAGTCAGTGAGCCTTGCCCTCGATTTCAAGGCTCTTCCTCAGTGCCTGTGTCCCGAACCATGGCCCTTGCCCGGGCGTCGCCTGGGAAAGGACATACCAAACATCGCAGAGAAACCTCAACTGAAGGCAGCCCCCGGGGTACACACTGCTGCTGACCACAAAGGAAAGCAAGGGCCTCGCAAATCAGAGTGATGAAGAGGACCAAACCAGCACTGAACTGACTTGCCAGCTCTGTGTTAGGCGCGGTGCTATTGACCTTGCACTATTTCTATTAATCATCTCAAACCAACTCTGGGGTATGTAAACCCATTTCATGATGAAACACGAGGCTCAGAGACAATAAAACTAAGGTGGCCTCCATTAAATTGGCGTGTTGGCTGGCTGTGGTGGCTCAGCAACCTGTAACCCAGAACTTGGGAGGCCAAGCAGAGGAGGATTCACCTAAAGTCAGGATTTTTAAGACCAGCCCTGGCTAACATAAGTAGAAACCCTGCTCTAACTAAAAATACAAACATTAGCCAGGGTGGTGGTGGCACATGTAATCCCACTAACTTGGGAGCTGAAGGCCCAGGAGAAACATGCAGCTTGAACCCAGGAGGCAAGAATTGCAGTGGAGCGAAGATTGTGACGCACTGCCTGGCCAAGCCTGGCATCCCGAGCAAGACTCTGTTTCAAAAAAAAAAAAAGGTTGGCTGTGCCCATTTGAACCCCCAGGTGTCCCCCCAGATCTGGGGGCCTCCACTCGGACCACCACAACTCAAAGGCCACCCTCAGGACCACACCAGATCCCTGCCACTCCCACATGGATGTTGAAAGAACTCAAATAGGTAAGACAGTAAACTTGTTATTTTGACACCTTCCAGAAAAGCCCCTATGAAAACCAATGGAGATTGGGGATGGATTGAGACTTTTTATTTTGTGGGGACAATTAATCCCCTTTAGCAGATATAACCAAGTCTCCCAGCCTACTGGCAGTACTACTTTTTTTTTTTTTTTTTTTTTTTTGAGACAGAGTCTTGCTTTGTCACTCAGGCTGGAGTGCAATAGTGCAATCTTGGCTCACTGCATCCTCCGCCTCCTGGGTTCAAGCAATTCTTCTGTCTTAGCCTCCCAAGTAGTTGAGATTACAGGCACCTGCCATCATGCCTGGCCAATTTTTGTATTTTTATAGAGACAGGTTTTCACCATGTTGCCCAGGCTGGTCTTGACCTCCTGAACTCAGGTGATCCACCTGCCTCGGCCTCCCAAAATGTTGGGATTACAGGCATGAGCCACTACACCCAGCCAGAAGTAGCTATTTTTATAGAACTATTCTGTTATTAGGTATTACTTCTAGCTCACTGGCCTGCATCTTCCAGAAAAGAAAACTTTGCATTTAATGTTTAAAATGAAATAAATGCTTATCTTTATAAGGTTGATATGGTTTGCATTTGTGTCCCCACCAAATCCATGTTAAGATGTAATCCCCAGGGCTGGCCGTGCAGCCTGGTGGAAGGTGTTTGGATCATGGGGCTGGATCCCTCATCAGTGTCTTAGCACCATCCCCTTGGAGATAACTGGATGTGTTCTCTGAAACCTGGTTGTTTAAAAGCATGTGGCACTTCCCCTCCATCTTGCTCCCGCTTGCTCCATGTGACTTGCCTGCTCCCCCTTTGCCTTCTGTCATGATTGTAAGCTCCCTGAGGCTTCCTCAGAAGCAGATGCCAGTGTCATGCGTCCTGTGCAGCCTGCAAAACCATGAGCCAATTAAACCTCTTTTCTTTGTAAATTACCCAGCCTCAGACTTTTTTTTTTTTATAGCAATGCAGGAAGGGCCTAATGCAAAGATGTACTGTTTTGTTTTGTTTTCAAGCTAAGGTATATTGTTTATGCCTTATTACAGATTTGAGGGATATCAGAAACTGGGGGATGCTGTAAGCCCAGCAAGGGGAGGAATATTCTATGGCTTCAAGCCTGGGCTCTCCTGCATATGGGGTTTCACAATGGGAATGGTGCTTAATGTATTCAACTAATACCTTATTTGTGGACATCTGTATCATTTTCAGCTTTTAAAATATGATCAGCTGCATTGTAGCCAATATCCCCAGGTAAGTCATAGCTGATGTACAACTTTATTTCCTTATAATAAAATACTAGAAGTTACTGGTCAGATTTAAGATGTTCAATACAAATTGGTCTCTAGAAAATTTGCTCCAGTTTACCTTCAGACAGCCATTATGAAAGGCTCATTTTTCCAAACCCTCATGGACATGGCTTGGAAACCATGAGGAATACCTTCATAAAGTGGGAATACCCACACTGACATACTTCATTATATAAAAATCAAAACTTCTGTGTGTTGCAAAACACCAGAAAAAACACATGAAAAGACAGAAGAAATTATTGAGAAAAATCATATCCATGGTTTCCAAATCTCATGTGTCCCCACCAAATCTCATGTTGAATTCTAATCCCTAATGTTGGAGATAGGGCCGGCTGGGAAGTAATTGGATCACAGGGGCAGATTTCCCATGAATGGTTTAGCAACATCCCCTTGGTACTGTCCACATGATTGTGAGTGAGTTATCATGAAATCTGGTCATTTAAAAGTGTTGCACCTGCCCCCTCACTCTCGCTCCTGCTCCCACCGTGTGAGACGTCTCACTCCCCCATCGCCTTCCACCATGACTGTAAGCTTCCTGAGGCCTTCCCAGAAGCTGAGCAGATGCCAGCCTCATGCTTCCTGTACAGCCTGTGGAACTGTGAGCCAATTAAACCTCTTTTCTTTAGAAATTCCCCAGTCTCAGATATTTCTTTATACTAATGTGAGAATGGACTAATACACTCACTAACACTGAGTTTGCTTTTTCTTTTTTATTATTACTAGATAAATATTATTTTATATATTCATTGCCCGTTTGTATTTCTTCTTTTCTGATTGCCGGTGTACTTCCTTGACTCATTTTTTTCTATTACTGTGTTTGTCTTTTTCCCATTTGTTGATGAGTACCTTCATATAGTGGGAATACTCACACTGATATACTTAATTATATAAAAATCAAAACTTCTGTGTGTTACGAAACACCAGAAAAACAAATGAAAAGACAGAAGAAATTATTGAGAAAAACACATTTACGATGAATAGAACAATTTTTCTTTATACCTTCTGTACAGTACTGAGCATCACGCTTAGAAAGTCCTTCATAATCCCCAAGATCATGGAAATACTCATTTCTTTTTTTGTTATTTCTTAGTTTGTTAGTATGTTTATAGTTTTATTTGTTAACATCTTTACAACCACTGGAATTAGTTTCTGGCATGAAGTTTAAAGCAGTAATAATTTTAACTTGATTTTTTCCCAGGCAGTTAATGAATTGCCCTAACAAAACTTATTGAATAATTCTTTGCTCAATGGGGTGTTAACGCCACCTTTATCACATGCTAAAAAGTATGTTCTTATAAAAATTCAGATTTGTTTCTGGACTTCCTATTCTGTTCCATGATCTGTCATCTTTTTTAAATTCTAAAACTGTCCCTATTCCAACAAGGGCTCCCAAATTCTCAGAAATAGAGTTTGCATTGCTTTGGTGATCTGTGTTCATATTCTTATCTCTTATGTTAGACTGTGAGTTCCCTGAGGGACGGGAAGTCTCAGTCCTCTTTGTACCCCGAGAGCCAAGTGTGGTGTAATGAAGGGAGGGCAAAACAGCACATGGGGAAATGAGGAAGCCCCAGGATTAGGGTTGCCAGATTGAGTAAATAAAATAGGCAGTGAACCTACAATATCAGATAAACCACAAATAGTTTTTTGTATGTGTATGTTCTTTGCAATATTTGGGATATACTTATCCTAAAAGTTATCCAGACATCTCCACTGAAACACTCATCCTCCTCAGACCTCGAACCTCCACCTACCTTGAGATCCAAGCTGGACAACCAGGAATGCATCTTTTACATGCCAAGTGCTGCAAGTGACACAGGCTCAAGTTAGAAGGCACCCAACAGGCTGAGCATGAGAGTGGCAAATATGACCTTCCACGCTTGCAGAGGCAGCGTCCCAGGCCAAGAATGAACTGACTCGCTGCTGTTCCTCCAAAAGCGCCCGCCCAACCCCCTGTACCCTGCCCCATGTACCTGGTCCCCAGGGGCCCTGACCTGAGTGGGGCAGGG